TATAACTGAAAAATTGTGCTCTACACTGGAATTTGACACACATTGTAAAATGACTATAACTCAATAAAAAAAGTTTAAAAAAAGAAAGAAGAATTCATGTTATACCAGAAAAAAAATTAAATTGTGTCCTCTCAACCTTTAGATCCTCATTATGCTTGCTAACTTAGTTTTCCAATTATGATTATAAAGTTGAAAAAGTTCATCTTGTAATAGATAAGCATACTAAATTACCAATTTAAATTCAGGGAATTTAGAATTTCTTTCATTGCATTCTTTTTTCTGGTTATAGAATAACAATCCATTAAAGACTTTAAATACACACAAAAGTACAAAGAAGGAAAAAAATTTCACCTATAATCCCATCATCCACAAAACTACTATTCTACTACAATTCTCTTCTAGAATATGTACAAGGAAGCTTTTCAACTACCTAATTGTCACAATATTAAATATTTTCCTAAAAACATTTTAATAATTGCATAATCATCCTCAGAGTTAATTTATTTAATTGCACTGGAAAAAGAGAATGGGTCATTTAAGATTAATCCAGTGGTAGGGCACTTGATTTTAAAATGGTTGACGAAATTTATGTTTTCTATAAAATGAGTACACATTAAGTATTAAGATGTAAGTCATACAGCTCCTAGTAAGATTCTGGACTCCTTTCCAACATATTTTTTAATTGAAATAAAGTAAGTAAAGCAAAAGGTAACCTAGAAAAGATGTAAATTGTTAATGTAAGTAGTGACAAAAGAAAAGGTCTCACCTGAAAATCTACTCCAATCAATAAAATTTACTTTTCCTGTCATAATGCCATACAAGTTTTTTCCAGAGCACTTCCATTAGATTAAAAATTTGAGCTATTAACCTACCATCATACTACATACCTTAAAGAGTTTCTCTAATAATCATGACAGATTTGAGCTAAGTATCTACCTCTCTTTTCCAGTCTCTGGTATGGCTTATGACATTCATTTTAACCACAGTTAGCAAAGATTAAGGACATCATTCATTTTCCTACACAGTTGAATATGTCTATGTGGTATAATAATAACTGCAATACAGTTTTAGTGATGAATGTTAGTTAACTTATAAAATAATTACTATGTAACATATTCAAAAGGAATAGAAATCTGTAAGAAGAGTAATTTAAAAAGTATGCAACAATCAAATTCAGAGGATGTTCCAAGTGGCCTAAAAAAAAAAAAAGAAAGAAAATTCTGGAAATTTACACTCAGCCAGAATGTTTTACACCTGATACTGTTAACAAGATAGGATCGCCCTACCAAAGGTCTGTTATGGTATATCCAGAAGAGCTATTAGGCACTGTGAGAAGAAAAGATCATCTATTCAAACTTAATACACTTTATGTGAAAATATAATTTGAAACCCTCAAATTTTAGTTTCTAAATTCATAGTCATAAAGCAAGGCTGGTATTAAAATTCATTTAGCCAAACAACATGCAAAACTTTCTCACTAAAAAATACAAAGCACTGCTGAGAAAAATTAAAGAAGGACTAAATATTGTTAAGGTGTCAGTTCTCTCCCAGATAGATTCAACATCTCCATGATAATCCCAAAAGGTTTTTCCTGAGGAAATTGATAAACTGATTCTAAAATATAGGCCAATATAAAGGATCTAGTACATCCAAAGCCATCTTGTAAATGAAGAACAAAGTTGGAGGATTTATAGTAACTGACTTCAATACTTACTATACTGTATTACTAGCATAAAGAGTGACAAGTAAATCAATGGAACAGAATAAACCCATATTTCTACAGTTATCTGATTTTCAACAAAGGCACCAAAACAGTTCAATCAACAAGTGAAATCTATTCAGTAAATGGACCTAAAATAACTAGATATCCATATAGGTAAAGAAAAACGAACCTCAGCGTCTACCTCACACCAAATACAAATACTAACGCATAACAGATCACGGACCTAAACAAAAAAGCTCAAACCATTCACACAGTTTTTAAAGAAAAAAAAACAAGAGTACTGTCATAAACTGAGGATAGGTAAGGGTTTTCTAGACAATCACAGAAAGCAATAATCATACAGGCAAAATTTGATAACTGAGACTCTATAAAAATTAAAAACTTGTTATCAAAAGATACCAGCAAGAAAAAAGGTAAGACTGGGACTGGAGGAAAAAAAAATTTTTTTAACATACATCTGATAGACTGGTATCCAGAATATATAAGGAATTCCACAACTCATCAATAAAAAGACAAAACAACCCAATTTCTTTCATCAGCAAAAGATCTAAACACTCTTCAAAAAAAATATACATGGCCAATGAACAAATGATAAAGTGCTCAATATCATTAGTCATCATGGAAATATAAAATTAAACCACAATGAGATACCACTACTCATCTACCAGAATAGCAAAAATTAGAAAAACGAACAAATGCCAAAAGATGGTGAGGATGTAGAGCAACTAGAATTCTCATATATTGCTGGTAGGAATGTAAAATGACACTACTAGAAGTAAATCTAGTAGCTCCTTATAGAACTGAATATACTGTTCCCCTTTTGACTCAGCCAAATCTACTCCTGAGTAATTATCCATGAGAAATAAAAACATGTTCACAAAAAGACTTGTACAAAAATATTAATAGCAACTTTATTCATAGTAGCCAAAAACTAAAGGAAACAGCCTAGATGCCCACCACCAATAAGAGACCAGATAAACAATTAATGTTAATCCACAATAATAATAAATTATCTGCTACATGCAGTAACATAAACGAATCTAAAAAATATTATACTGAGTGAAACAAGTATTATATAAAACAGAACATACGTATGATTCCATTAATAAGAAATTCCAGAACAGGAAAATTTTAACCTATAGTAGAAAAAAATCCTGTAATAATGGTTACCTCTGGGAGGGCAGGAGCAGAGTGACTACAAAAAGGCATAAAGGAATTTCCTGGAGTGACAGTAATGTTCTATATCTTGATAGAGGACTGAGTTATAAACATTTACGCATTCATCAAGACTCAGCAAATATGCACTTAAGATATGTGCAATTCACTGTATGAAAACTTTATATGTAAAGATAAAAAACTCTTAAAATACTGAACTCTAGTCGGTGGTATGCATGTTGAAGTATTTATGGGGAAACATTGATGTCTGCAGTTTACTTTGAAATGCATTCAAAAACCAAATGAAGTAATGGACAGACAAAAGAATGAACAGACAGGTGATAAAGTATAGTAAAATGTTAATGATAAAATCTAGGTTATGAACATATGGATTATGGATTATGAATATATGGATCCTATTTAAAATTTTTCATAATAAAATGTAAGAAAAAAATCAGTCTACCCATGAGGGTGAACTATATCACAGACAGCTAAAGAAACTGTAAATGAATTAACACATTAATATGAGTTACGTATTAAATAAAATGAAAATATTCATATTATTGCACTTTTCCAGTATTTTTAATATTGGTCACAGTTTAGAAGGCCCAAAGGAAACTCTAGGTTGACTAGTTACCTAATTCCCAAACCAAAAAAAGGTGTTACCAGGCCTATAAGTAATAAGCAACCAACCAATGGTCCAGTGACAATCACCTACCCTCATTGACCATACTTGGCAATAAAGAAAGAAACTGTATAAATTATCTGGACAATATATTTGAGAACCCATTATGGAGAGTATAATCCAATGAAGACAGAACAAATATAAAAATACTGATGAAAGGCCAGCATAACAACGGGATGTATCAACTGTAGGAACTCTTATAGAAATCCTTCCTCTGCACATCGAGCGTACCATTTTATGATTAACACTTATTACAATCTCTTCAATAAGAGAGAAGAAAGAAAATATAATTTGGAAAATATTCAGGACAGAGTTTTTAAAAAGCAGCTTAAAAAGTACTTGGAAAAATCATTACTTAGTCTTAAAAAGAAAATAATAGTCTTGAAGCACTCTATCTACAAAAAAAAGTTATTCTCCATACACAACTGAAGATTATATTAAACTAAACCATGAGAGCCTTGAATCAGAAGTTAAAATATTGTTAACATAAGGGAATGTCAAACATTAGGGAAACTTCCAAGGAAGTTTGTAAAATTCACCAGTGTATTTATAAACAGGATAGAACCTTAATTATTATCAAGAACAAGGGTGGTCCAAGGTGAAGGTATAGTCAGTCTCAAATTCCTAATTCTTAATTCTAGAATATTATCTGACATTAGGTATTTGCATAATAATTAAGGTTATCAGAACTTTCTTATTGCTCTATGATAGAAAAAACCTAGACTATTAGAAAATAAAAGCATATATATTTTGTGGGGGGCTTCCCTCTTTGGACAATCTTATGATATTGCAAAGCAAGAAGATGAATTTTTGCAAGTCTCAAATCTATAATTTTTAACCAAAAACCTCATAGTTCCTGTGAGGTAGTAATATTTTTAGATACTACCATAGGGCAGAAAATTAGTAACAGAGATGTCCCAGAATCCTGTGTACAGTTACTTTCATCTGAATAATAGAACCCTAAGAACATTAAATTTTTATAAGGAAACAAAATTTCACTCACATTTAAAACTTTATATTTAAAGTGTTTTACCTTGTGCTAAACATAGTTAGGCATTTACTTTTTCATAAGGCAACAAAAGAAAGAAAATTATATTTCTCCATCTTAAGCATAATGTGAAAGTCCACTGAGCAAGAACCAAAATTAACAATGACAATTTAACACTTTATCTAGGGAAAGAAAATAAAATGACAAATTTCCCAAAATACCCTTAATCTACATGACGGAATATAATACTACACATTTTAATGTACACACAGGAACAATTATTTCCCATGTTAACCTTATGTAGTATAAATTATCCTAATCCTATTAGGATTAGGATCATAGTATTTATTACATCTTTATATTTTATACTTTATGGAATTTTTTAAATTATACATATCAATGCCATAGACAGAGTAAATTATGTACAATCCAGGGTTCAATGCACTCACAGTTCCTTGTGTTTGTCTTCAGCCAAGATTTGGTCATTTGGTTTAAGAGAATATCTGTAACACAGAAACAGAAATATGCTGGTCATATAAACATGTAAGTATGTTTGCCTCATAGACATCTGATTGTGGTATCAATATACAGTCAGTTTACCCCTATCAAATAAGCATTATTACATGGTTAACAGGTCTGTCTTAATTGATAAAATATTAAAAAATGCTCAAATTCTCTGATGCTCTATTAGTCACTTCTACAGACACCTTCTCAAGAGCTGAAGCCGGATCAACTTGACCATGCTTTGAAAACATAAGGTATCTTCAATATTCTTCTGTAGTGAAATCATCTGTAATGTTCTAATCATCCAGCAGTTCAAAACTGAAGAAACTACTACAATGTTAAGAATTTAAGAATTCACAAAACAATATGCAGTTATTCATTTGTTAAATACATAGTAAACTTACTAGGTAGTGTGACACAGGAGGAAAAATATATTCTGGAGTTCTCGACTAAATCACTGACTAGCTTAATGATCATAGGCAATTATTTCACTTCTTTAAGTCTAAGTTTCCCTGGCTATAAAATAGAAGCTACCATAACTATCAGAACAAAGATCTTCCAATAACATATATTTATACTGCTGAAGAAAAAACAGACTTTCTGAGGAGTACAGAGAAATAGATAAACAACAAAGGACAGGGCTTCAGTTTCCACTTGTATTTATCTCTTTTCTAAAACTAATCTGTCGGACAATGGATCAGAGAGGTCCAAGGTCCAAGCGGAGAGGTCATGTAAATTCTCTTTTCTTGGTGGGGAGAGTATAGCTCAGTGGTAGAGTGCATGCTTGGCATGCACAAGGTTCTGAGTTCAATCCCCAGTACCTTTACTAAAATAAATAAACCTAATTACTCCCTCCCCCCAAAATTTAATAAATTAATAAATTATCTTTTCTTGACTCCCCTTCTACAAATGCCTTTACTCACTTTATAAAAAGAGTGGCAAACCTCTCACTCATCCTGAATGGAACTGTACTGCATTACCTGGGTATAAAAACCTCTGAAGTATTAAACAAGGAATGATTCATAATATTTTGTCTGAAAACCCTTCCTTACTTAAAGTATGACAAATTAACTATAGGGTTTCCTGTTTTATATATTGTTACTATAAAGAATGATGCTAGAAATTAAAAAGGAGGAATTGTGATATGACATTCCAGCTTCAGATATATTACGGAATGGGGCAGAAACGTCACAATTTTCACTTAAAAAGTTTATCATTTCCATCCCATGTTCATCATTAAAGAAGATGTTGCTTTTCAGGGAGAACCTGCTGAAGCAAAGCTAAGCGAGTTTCTAAAAAAGAACAAGAAAGATAGTGTCAATTTATTTCTTCCAAGCAACATACTTAAACAAGGCTCCCTGCCTTCCATTTATCTACCAAGGAGAAGATGATTGTCACAGGAATACAATGAAATCATTTATTTGAACTGAAAAATAAAGCCAGACTTTTTCTATCAGAAATTAAAACTGATTGGTTTGACAATGAAAAGCAGTTTTGCCAACAAGGTTCCAAGGCAGACAATGGCTTTAAGCTGAACAAATGGCTTTCGCTAAAACATGTTTAAAGGACTTGATAAAAATATTTTATCAAAAAAACACATTTTTGACATAGGTATATCGAAATAAACAATATTTAACTTCTCTCAGCACCTCCTAAAATGCTGAAGTAAAAGCATGCCTATAAGTAAAACACTAACAGATATAATTACTAGTTATTTAAGAAGACTTAACAAAGCCTTTTTTGGTATACTTCCCAGAATTGCAAGTCTCTAATGACTCTAATAACTGGCAAGTCAAGTGGTTTCTATTACTTTCTTCCAACAAAACTGAAGGATCTAATCAAATTATCAGCTGGCAGATAAATAAAAATAATTTTTGATGATACATCATTTGATGCTAGAAGAGTTCAAATAATTGAGTGACAACTGCTGAAACAAAACTCTGTTATCATTCAATTAATTATGTGAACAGATCTCTCAGCACTTATACCACTAAAAGAAAAAAGAGGCAATAAAATTGATGTTGAACATGGTCTTATTGCAGCACTGAGTATTATGCACAAAGGTTGAATTAATTGAAAAAATTAAAGATCAGCTTCACCCATCTCATTAAAAGAGGGAAGTCCAATAACTTTATTTTTTCTGTTTAATAATGATTCAACATTTTAACATATTTATGTTGTTTTACTAACTATATGCTAATCACAATTTAATGACTAGGAGATTTTTTTAAAAAACTTGACTTCACACGTATTTGTTGTAGAGACATATGAAAGGGTGATCAACATGCATGAAAGGTTTTAATGCATAAAAATACATTGCCTTCATAATGTATGCATAATATATTACATGCAAAACATAATTCATGCATAAAAACTCATCACACAAGGATAAAATCTGGTGGGGAAAAGTGTAACAGAAATACAAATTTAAACAGAGAAAGGAATATAAAAATTTTAAATGTTAAAAAAAGCTTATTTGTGTCTTTTAATAAGTGAATAATGGTAAGTATCAAACCACTATGGTATTTAGTCCACTAAAATTGTGATTTATCAGTTTTATTTAACATTATAATATAAAAATCACAAATATTAACAAGTGAAATACTTTTTATCAAAACATTTTTATGGAAGTTACAAAGTTTGAAAACAATGGATTTGACATCTGTGTCTTAGCAAAGTGCTTGGTACATATAAAATAGGAACTCAATCAATGCTACTTTCCCTCTTTCTCTAGCTGGCTAGTGATAGAGAAATAAAAAACATTTCTTGCCCTTAAGGACCTCACAATTCAGAAGACAAATCAGAATAAAAGTAACTGCTCATAGTGTGGTAAGTGTTACAGTAAAGTTAGGTACAATGTATAGTATTCATACAAAGAGGGAATAATAAACGGGGCTACTTCTCACTGAAACATTTAATGTCAATGTTTATTTAAATGTGGGGCTATAATTACAGGCAGTTCTCATTTTCATTTGTATGTCCTGTTCTGCCAACCTAAATGCTGTTGGTAGAACAAAAGATACACAGCCTTTTGAATTCTTCTATTACAGTTAACTTATTATCTGAATATTTGACACTTTAAATTAATAAACTTCAAAGAGAAAATTCAACTTAGTGAAAGTAGATGGCCACATATACTTCAACTTTCTACTATGTCTTTTCCAGAATGATACCAAAAAAGAGCCTATTTTTCAGTTGGGTTTTGTTTCCTAAAGACATGATTTTAAAATGTTCTGGTTTTATATCCATTCCTTAGATTCAAACATGAACATGGTCTCTTAAAATGCCAGAGACAGCAAAAGGTATTCCAGCCTTTTTTCTACCTGAATTTACCAGAGGGAAGAGACATACACTCCAGTCAGCAGAAGATGAGGCAGCAGGAGAGAGCGCAGGGAAGGGCACCTCTTTATTCCTGCCACAAGCCCCTACAAAGAGAGCCTCTGAGCCAGTGAAAGAACATTAGATTGCAAGTCTAAGACCTGATTCTGCCATTAAGTAGACAAGCCATTTAATTTCTCTGAAGAGGACAAAACTACCTATGTGACAGTGTTCCTATGTGGATTAAAAATGATAATACATGCAAAGGGCCCAACACATTATCTAATACATAATAAATACCCCTCCCCTCTTTATTAGAGGTGCCTGCACCTCTATAAAATGAATAATTCAATAAGCTCATAAGTGAAAGTGGGGAAGATATTAAAGTGTTTCACATATTTTGAAACAACTGCATGACTACAGATTTCCATTAAGGAAATATCAGAGAGTTCTGTACAAGGATGTCAACTAGAGCATTATTTATGAAAAAGTAAAACTGTAAACAATTATGCCATCCAAAAAGGAGCCAACTGCATCAGTAAAGTATAGTTCAACCACAGGGAAATGGTACAATATTAAGTTTAAAACAAAAGAAGAAAGATTGTAAATACTCCCAAAAAGAGGTGGAAACATGTATGTCAAAATATTATATATTCTTTGTGCTCTTTCAAAATGTAAATAATATTTTTTTGAAATTAGAAAGAAATATTTTAAAAAATACATATAACACTTTAGAATGTGATTATGATACTCATCTGGATGTAGTTTTCACTTAAATTTCTCAACCAATGAATCTGTAAACCTCCAAAGATTAGTTAAAAACTTATCTTGTATTTTAAAAATTTAAATAAATTTAAATATTTTATTGTATAAATATTGAGAGCAACAGGTAACAAATAAGTAGGAAGAAGGGGAGAGGGAAAGGAGGGAGAAAGAGGGAACAAAGAAGGAAGGGAGAGGAGAAGAAGGAGTTCTTTCCTCACTCTGAGCTGTTTAAGGAAGACATACCTGAAGCAAACAAACAAACAAACAAAAAAACAACGAATAAAACCCACTAATGCCATTCCCACCATGGGCAATGAGAAAATGGTATTGTTAATTCAGATTTATAATTAAATATCATAATACATAAGTAAAATACATTATAGGTAACTATTGAGATATGCTAGAACAGCGGTAATGTGCTACGAACAGTAGTAAAACGAAGTTTTGGCCTTTTGTAAGAGACTGAAACAAACATTATTTATTCAAGTATGCTCTTTCCCTGAAGAAGATTAGCATAACAGAATTTCAGGCTCAAAAAGATCCTTGACGAGAAAGCGAAGTCCACAAACAGCCCAATCATAAACGAAATGCCCTACCCCATTTCACAGATAGTTTATGCCAAACCAAGACTTTCTACATAGCAGGATGACAATAAAATATTCCATTAATACTTGCAATTAAGATTGCCTTCTGAGAAATAAACAAGTAAAATTCCAGAAATCTGCAAACACTACTTCACAGACCAAAGAACCCTAATGGTATCCTGTAGTTTAATAAATCTGACAGAATCAATCAGGTAGACAGTCTGGATATTGCAAAGATTTTAAACAACTTCACATGTTTAACTGGCTCTTGCAATTGAAAAATAAAAGTTAATTAAAACACACTGGAAAGAAAGAAAAGAGAGACCAAACAT